ATAGATCCTGAATATTAAATAAGATATAATATTTAAAAATAGAAACATGATAATAAATATAGTAATAAATAATATAGAAAATAGGGATAATTATGAAATGAATAAAAATTATAATAAAATATAGTTTTTCATAACTAGAAAAAGATTAGAGAATTAAGAAATTTTATGTCACTATAGTAATAATATAATTATTTTTATTACTATTATATTTCTATTTTTAAATATTATATCTTATTTTTTTTGCTTAAGATATATATTTTCAATTTATTTATTATATATTTTTCATATTTATAGTAAAATAGTATATTTAAAAATTCTTTTTATTTTCTAGTAAAATAATAATATTTTGAATATTAATATTTAGAAGATTAGTAAATATCTACATAAATATTTATATAAATATAACTTTTAATATTTTTAATATTATAATAGTAAAGTATAATTCTTTACAATAATATATATATTTAGATAGTATTAGTCAGTAATATTATAATAATTTATATATTTAAAAAATATATAAAAAGACTTGCTATTTCAGCTTGAAATAAATAGTTTTGAATTAAATTGTTTGGAAAATATAATTAAAAAGCTTATTATTATAATAATAGTAATCTTTTTAAAAAATTCTAATTATATTAGTATTCTTTCTTTCACTTGATTTTATTTCTTTGATTATACAAATTGATTTTGATTTTGATTATAATATTATATTAATTTTTGATTTTTGATATTGTTTTAAGAGTAAAAGATCTTTACTATAAATAAGTTATATTTTTTTATTTTATTATTTTGAGAATAGAAGATTTTTATTATAAATAAGCCATATCTTTTTAGTTATTTAGTTTTTTATTTATCTTAGTTTTATTTTTCTTAGTTATAGTCTTCTTGATTAATAGTAGTTTTATTATTTAATTATTTAAGACTTGAATTATATTAATTACTAATAATTTCACTAGTTAATCTTTATAATTTTCTTGATTTATTTTATTTTTTTATTACTTAATTATCACTTTAATAAGATAATATTTATAAATATTGATACAAAACTTAGAAAACTTTGTTAGTATTTAAAGTATAGTTTAATTTTTCTCTCTATACTTTAATTAATTCAGTCTCTTCCAACTTAATATTATTCAAGTGAAAACTTACTTATTAGATTTATCATAATAATATATTCTAACATATATATAAATATAATACTAAAAAATACTGAAAATAAAAAGTAAATATAATTTTATATTCTAAAAAATACTTAAAAATAAGAAATATAATATAATATTGAAAATACTAAAAATAAAGAATCTAAGAAATATATAATTTTGTAAGATATATTATAATTAGATAATTCTTTTATAATTTTAGAAATTAAAAATTTTATTAGAATTATAATAATAATACTAACTATATATTAAATAAGATAAAATTAGATCTTTTATAAAGATTAATAATAATTTTAATTCTGATAGTTATATTAATATTTTGCCAAAAACTTTAATTTTTTGAATAAATAATAACTTTTATATACTTTTTTAGCAAGATAATACTTTATATTATATAAATTGATAAATATAAACTCATAATATTCAAGTTTTGGAATAAATTATCCAAAAGTTCTGATTTAAATCTAATTAAGCATATATGAGATTATTTAGATTATTAGATTAGAAAAAGAAAGACTCTTTTAATTTATAAAAAGAATTTAATTGATATATTAATAAAAGAATGGCAAAAAGTATTTTTTAGATATTATAAATAATTTCATATTATAATGAATTATGACTATTATCAATACTAAAGAATTATATATATATTATTAGCTTTTAAAAAAAATATGAAAAGATATAAAAGAATGCTGAAGGATATGAAAAGATATTTGTGATTAATATTTCAAATATAACTGTTCTACCAAAATTAAAAATAATCTTCTACTATATTATTCTACTATATATGAATATTATATTATAAAAATATAAATCTTAAATAAAAATTTTTTAACTAAATATTATTTTATAACTTTTTGCTTTGAACTATATAAATTTTAAATGAGATTATTTAGTATAATATATATTTATTTAAAAAAGAGTATATAGATACTTTTAAAAATTGAAAAATTTGTAAATTATGCATGATGATTTTACTATAGGTTAGTATATTATGACATTCACAGCTTATATCAACGAGCTAATGATAAATTGCTAATTGATTTTCTTAAAGATCATCGTTCAAAAATATATGTTGTCATTAATATATTAATATTGTTTTTGTTAGTTGGTTGGATATAAAATTTTGTTTAATTATATTATTATCTTTATTCTTATCTGATTATTACAAATTTCTGCATTGGATCTTAAAACTAATACCTATTCAATAACTGGAGAAATATGGTTCATTTGATTCATGATCACCATGATTTCTGTCAAATAATTATATTTTATTCTCTTCAAGAAAAAAGAAAAGTTTGAATTTATTAATTAGACAAATGACCAAAACGAGTTCAGAAACAGGAATTTTTCTAAAACGATGCTTTTGAACTTACTGATCTCGTCAATATTACCAGTAAGTGTTTCAAAATAAGTGTTTTTCCTGGAAATAATTAAAAGATTAGATTTCCTTTATTTTATGTATTGATAAGATAGATGGTTGAATATGATGGAATTGTTGCTGTTGAATTTTTTTTGATGAAATTAATGTTGTTTTTTCTTTTCTCTTGGATTTATTTCAAATGTATTATTTATTATCTTATTCTTTTTTCAATTTAATTAAGTCTATATTAATATTCCAATTAACCAATCTAATTTTATAAATATGTCTAAAATGTTCTCGGCCATGAATACTATTTTGATTCAATCTAAATGTATTAACTCCTATATGTGTTATATCTATCTCGTCTTCATCCTGATTTCATCTTCTCTATCATAATATATGCGAAATCCCTTTATTATGCAATTCGGAATATATACATAAATAGTTTATTAACTCAAAAATTTAGTTAGTCATAGAAATATAATTTTCCATTCCCACCCCCCAAATAACCTACCTAAAATCCCGAAATTCCTTCTACTACACAATTTCCACGTCCAAAGTCATCATACAAATTTTACTTTTGTAACGCCCCCTATTCCGCGCATCAAATGATACTGCATAGTCAATCGAAAATAATCGCAATTTAATTCCCACCCTACATTATAGCAAAAATCCGTGAATCCACGTAGCCGGGCGGTGGTGTCCAGTAGGATCGTTTCGAATAAATTACAGGAATAAATTAATCAGGTGAGTTACTAAATAATAATTTCTACGGTTATTTCGTATTTCGTAGAATCTTCAAATTGATGCAGGTATATCGTATAATGTAATTTTATTATTTTATTTTTACTGTTTTATTTCTCAAAATATATCTAAGTATTTTAATAAAAGAGGATTTTATTTAATAAATTCGCATCAAAATGAATACATTAATTATTATTGTTATAATTAAAAATGGATGGAAGTTATAATTGAAAAATTAAACTAATACAAATAGAATGGATTTTCTTATCCCTTCATTATAATTATTTTTCTCATCATCATTTCATTTTAATCTCATCATTCTCTCTTTAATCCTATCATTATTCCTTTTCAATCTCGTCATCATTTTCTTATTAATATGAAACACATTAATTAGTATATAGATTTCTACATCTCTTCCCAAAAGTCATCGTACTGATTAAAGATGTTTTGTATCAGTGGTAACCTTGGCTATTACAGAATAGAAAACTCCTTAGGCTTTCCCCTTTTTCGCTTTTTTTCGCTAATTATTTTCTTATGAATTTTTTCTATATCGAAACAAACTCTTCTTTCCACAGTTCTTTTTTTTAAGTATAAATTATAACTCTACGTATTTCTCGTTTATGCCTAAATTTTTTAGGTTAAAATTCATTTCCCAATCTTTTTTAAACAAAAATTAGCTAAAATATCGGACGATGAAGACGAAAGAGTAACCACTTACAGTGCTTGTACACAGTGCCTATAGCTGCTGCAATTACGCCAATGATTTTTCTCGTGCTGGAACTATTATGGCTGAACCTCAGATTTTTCGGATATGGACCGTCATGAAAAGAAGAAGGCCTGTTAACTCAGCACCTCGTTGGAGAGATGGTTTGAACTTTGAAGGTAAGAATAGCTTTTATACCAATACCAAACTAACATAAACTGTTTTACATTAAAACAATTGATAGCACTTTTTTATTTTAACTTGTTAAAGGATATTGCCGAAGTTCTTTTGAAACTTACAACTTGGCTATCGCGATTTCCCGCTTTAACATTGATTCCTTTCTCTGTAAATTTCCCCTCTGTGACAGTCGTGTTCGAGAAGAGAAATGTGGCTTTAGTAACGCTGAGTATAAATACAGTGGATTTCAAGCAATTAATGATGACGCCAAAGAATTTAATAATAGCTGGCAAGATGCTCCCAGCGGTTTTTATGCCAATTTTGACGACTCACCCGACCATTTTGTTAAATGGTTCCAACTCACAATTGAAGTGAGAAGACGACAATTTTCAAAAATCTCTGTTTAGAAGTAAATAGTGGATTTTTTCTCTTAGCGTGTCTATGGTACTGAGAGCTGTTTTTTCGCTTTTTCTTTTAAATTTATATTTAGCTATTATTTTCCACTTTTTTATGCATTATATGAAAGCAAAATTTTTTTGAATAAAGAGAAAAATATAGATGGAATATTAACTACATATTGCGTTTATTGTAAATTGAAATGTGCAGTTACCAAAAAGAAATTTCTCGAAGTCCGTTAAGATTTTAAGATTGAATATATTAGATTTGGGAGAAGGATTTAAACTTTTAAAAAGGAAATCATTAAAATGTTCAGTAAATACTAGTTCATAGATTTAAAACAGATCGAGATGAAATAAAAAATAACTAGGAAATCCAACTTCTTTTAAAAATATCAGAAGTGTTAAAATAATTACTCTTTAAAGATAGTATCATTTCTGAATTTTCAAACAATGATTATTTTGTAATATATATTATTGTTAGAAATTTAATATATATTAACAAAAATATAATAAAACCGCCTAATACTTATCATATGTTAATAAATTTAAACAACAAAATAATTATAAATTTACGTTCATCTAACTGGTTCTTATATGATAATTATCCTTATATTTGAAGTATTCTCATTTGATCTTCCCAAAATGTTTCAAACCTTTCTAAATTGATATAATAGAATCTTTAAATTATATAAAAATATTTATTCAAGACTTCCATAATACTGCAATTTTCAAGTATTTATAATTAATTTGCTATTATTTGTTTAGCTTTACTTTAACTATTGATAAAAAATAACTTAAGAAAGCTAGATACTGTCTAGAGACTATTAAATAATGCAATATTAAAAATTAATGAAAAGACAGTGAATGCTGTGCCTGAATATGATAAATCAAGTTTTGTTATCATTTGACTAGAAGATGTAATTAAGTCTTTGAATGAAGAACTGAAAATATTTATTTAGAAGAACTTATCAAAGTGCAAAACAACTGAATAAATAAATAATTAAAAAGTGATAATGATTTATAAGAATTTAGTTCAGTATAAAGAGTCATCTTGAGAAAGACAGCTTCAGATTCTGACAAAATTAACAATTAATTTTATAGTAAAGATATATAGTTTACATTTATAAACTCTCGTAATAATGTTCTTTATATCCGTTACAGATATATCAAACTATTTCATATACTACCATCTTTTTTACAAAGGGTAAAAAGATAGAGGTCTTGCCGCATTTAGAGAGATTATAATACGTGCTTTTATAGTGCGTACATTTATAAAAGATGCTTAAAGAGATGCTACTGGAACTATAAAAGGATATGCTTATTGTTACATGTATTTGTAAATGTCACAGTGCAAATGTAATCTTATCAATTTTTAAGTGAACTTATAATTACATAATCAAATGATGATGCAAATAATATTTAGTATCTAATGTATAGCAGAAATAACCTTTCCGGAAGGCGCCCAGATGTAGCTAACTACCAAGGTATGCTAAAATTGCTAGCATTAGTATAAGACGTTCTATCTAGAACTATGACAGATGATAATGATGACTATATTACCTTTAAATGAAAATATATGTAGTATAGATGTACGTGCAGCATGAATTAATTTTAAAGGAATATATTGTTTGATATTCTAAAAAGAGAATATACTATTTACATTTTAATATTTTTAGTCATAAATGCTATCCTCCTTAGGTTGAAATTTGGTCATAATTTCTAAAAATGTAATGAATATATAAAATTTATTTAGAAATTATAATTCAAGTGAAATCATTCGGAAGTGTAAATTCTTACCATGTGATCTATTTGGCGGGTAATGCGAAAGAAATCCAAAAAATTCTGATTCGACAATCTCATCGATTGATTTTTCTTTACATTTTTCAAACATCTCGACTTTGCCCTAAAAAGTTTATAATCACAAGATATGAATGAAGGTAGCAGAATCACGTCAAAACAACGAAAGGAATATTAAAAAATAACGAACAGTGTTAATGCTTTTTGACGGTACAAGATGAGTCTCTCGTGGGTATAATTTTGTCTGTCGGTCATGAACCCAATCGAAGCATTTAAAATTTGGTCCGACGTTGCTGAGGAAATTTATGAATAAAGAGTAATCTAAGTTCTGATTACGAAATACTTTGTCGACTTTAATATATTGAAGATCTGGTGGAAACTTTGGTCCAAGTTCTAGAAATGCACGGTCGTCAAAGGGATCAAGACGGGTGAAAATCAAGTCGACGAGCTTTTTGCATGAGCATAAAATTGATGCGACATCGTTATTATCTAGTTCCGTAATCTCTAAAAACTCAAGATTTGGACACGATTGCGATATTGTTTGGGTAATCGTTGCTCTAGCGTTTCCTCGAAAGTTCATTGATTTGTCAAATTTCAAGTAACATAATTTTTTTCCAGCTGTTCTGAGACAACTAGCAATAAAGTCGGATCCTAAAGTTGTATTTGATTCGGCGAAATGCAGAGATTGCAGTCGAGCAAATACAGTCGAAAGTTTTGATGAAATTTGTGGCTCTCCATTATGAGAACCTTTTAATGTTAAAGCTTTTAAATTTACACATTCAATTAACCCTTCGATTGCAGTATCACTAAAGGTCCCAAAATTGGCCCAATGCAACTCAAGACTAGCTAATGAATGTTTTTGAGAAGCCAACGCTGCCATGATTCTTGTGAAAGAAGTATTATGATGGGAGATTCTGAGATGTATTAAGTTTCTTTGCATTTGTATTAACTTTATTGATTCCACCGCTTCTTTTTCTGGCACATCCATTTCTAAACAATCAAGTGCTAGAAATTCGATGTCTCGAGATTTCATAGTTAATCTTTGAAGAACACTTGTCTTATCAAAATTACCGCGTAGAATAACTCGTTTGAGGCGTGCTAACGCATTATTGTCACTATTTGCACAAGGAAAGACGAAATTTACTTTGAATAAGGGTGGTTCTTGTACTCTTTTTATGCCGGTAGTTCCAATCTCTACTTTTAAACTAAGCAGATTTTTGCAGCGATTGAAATCAAGAAAACATTTATATAATTCATGCACCATAAGAAGAGCTTTTTGTTGTTGCTCACTACTGTGCATATTCCATATTTGAAGTGCGTCATTATTATTAGAATTCCAAATGGGAGAACACCATTTTAACGCCGATATCTCGAGATTTAATGTATCAATATGTTTCGCAAAAGAAATATAATCAAAACAAGCCGCAGATATTGACGGATCAATATTGATGCCGTTATCTCGTAAATATTGTAAAGATTCTTTCGGTAAACAAGCTAAATATGTTCGAAAGAGTCGTGCACTCGGGATTCCATCTAATGGTTTCTGCCACAATATTCGAACAACGCATCGACAATATTCACGACAAACAAGTAAACAATTAAACAATGATTTCTCATCAGGAATCGCCGTAAATATTTGTAAAAGTATGTCTTGATTTAATTGGAACATTTTTCATTTAAATTTAACGATTTTTTATGTTCATTGGAATTGAACTTTTTTTCATACGGTGCACCTTATTTATTAATTTTTAGTATCTATCAAATCTCAAATTAATGATTTTAACTATATATGTCTATTCCGAATAATAAAAAATGTCAACATATAAGGTAGATCGCGAATATTCTTTTTAAACAGTTATCAATATGGTACATGTATAATCTTTATTATGTTCCGCAAATATTTCATTGTAATAAATTTTTGTGATTTCAAAAAATTTCTTTACAATTTGAATTTATTTTTAACCAAAACGTCTTAGTGAAATCCATACGTCAATTTTAGTGAAAAATTCCGCGAAGGAATGGACGAAAAAGTATTTCCTATCCGTACCGAAAAATTTTTTAACATTGTGCAAGGTCTTCTGTCATTACATAATGAGTGTTCAATAAATTATGTGTCAAGTGGATGAAGGATAAAAATAAAATTTAACTTCAAGCATATCTTTCAAAAAAAAGGGTTGAATGAAACACTACTCATTCATTTATCTCAAGTGATAGCATGTGAACCAATAATTACCGTTGCTAATTGCATGTAAGTTATATCAACCTTAGCCTATTATTTAACGATTTGCATTATTTCTGGTTTTTCCGGTAATCTAATAACTCATTTACACCTACTTAAACTAATAATCATCCAATTCTTATATAAACGAGAATGAATATCATTCATTCAAAAATGATAACTCCGATGAAAATTACGATAATCATGATACTGATAACGATCATTATCGTCATAAAAATCTCATTTACTCTACGGCAAAGTTCGTAGTTAGGAGGAGCCCTTAGAAAAATAAATAAATGAATGAATGTGAATAAATATTATCCTTGAAGAAATTCTAGGTGCGCTTGATTCATTCTTAGCCCTTGTGGTAATATTGATATCTGCTTTGGGACCTATCAGAATGGTTTCAGAATTCACATGTAGGTAACAACAAAATGATGATCGCAAAAAAGGTATGTGTATTTACCCTGATTTTTTTTGGTACTGTAATTTTTAACTACATGTATGTTCAAAAAAATAAGGTTTGCCATAGAATTCTAAACGGAGAGTTTTTTTTTATTTACATGTATCGATGAGCAACGCACCTGATTTCACTTCACGTAACACAGGCTTTAGATAAACCATATTTGTTATATTTGTTGGGAATCAAATGAATTCAATTTGGGAATATCAAAAGCACGTAATTAGCGCTTTCTTAACGTTAATGATGCACAATCTAGATCAGTTGAAAAACAAACGTTATATTGATTGATTGCACTTGTTCGAAATTAAGCAACAAATTTAACCACATGATAATCATGTGGTTAAAGTCTATTCATAAAATTGCTTCTCGCGCGATAATGCTTTTATTTGTCAGATAGGTGATGAGAAAGCTTGCCAATAAGATGACCCAGAGGATGAATATTATATATTTCGAATCAATGGTTTGAAATTAAAATTAATATTGAATTTCCTCAATTTTCGCATAATTTACTATACGCTGTATCATTAGAAACTTTACAACTTTAAAAAATAATTCGAAAATAACGCACAAATAATAATTTTGATGTAAGAAGAAAAGTGATTTAAAGACAATTTCTAGAAAGATAAATAAATGCTTTCGTATGCATTCAGATGTTGTTAAAAATTTTTGGCTACCTTACTCCTTTAAAGACTCTTTGAACATTGAGTTTTCTACTTTTACATAGGAAAATTTAATGAATTTGATTCCCGTTTATCAACAAATTTTAATAAAATGAAGTTATAAATTTTAACATCCATATATTTTTAATTTCGGTTACTAGAATCAGAATTAATGCAATCAAGCAAACAAATCACGCGATCAATGTGTAAACCTTTGTGATCCAAAATCATGTGGACAGTCAACAATTTGACTGAATTTGGATTAACAGATTAACATAACGATAATCTCGCTGAGAAGTTGGATAGGACATGAAACGTCCAAACATCATTGATTCGGCATGTGCTTGTCTTATATACAACCTTCATAATTAGATAAAATTTGAGTTTAATAGATATATTCAATTTAAATGATAATGTGTTATCTCTACTCTGTTTCCAATCCAGTCAAAATCCTAATTGTTCGGAATATTAAATGCATTCTTCATAGTCTTATTTTATCATGACTTTTACCACTTCTCGATAATAAATTATTCGAAATCTCGACTTGCGCCAAGATCAAGCAATTCGATCTAATCCAAGTGTAGTTAGCGCTTGACTCCAAATGTAGAGAATTAAACGTAAAGAATATCATTTTTCATCTTTCTCGTTCGCTGATTATATAAAACATTTATCTAGTTTGGGTCAGTTTGCATGGATCAAAACTCGAAAAGTTCTCGAAGACATAAACAAAGTATCTTTTGATAAATCTTCCATAAAATTCAAAATTTGTTATAGAATACACGAAAGATACTAAAAAATGCTTTATTTGTTTTTTACCTCGTTATGAGTCTCTTGATTTACTTCGTGGTAACTACAGTCATCGGGTCGCCGTCCATAAACTCACTTGTTAAAACC